AACTCAGAAGCTGTCTCCAATTGATAACCACTTGCAAATGAAAACTTAGTACTATCCAATAGATTCTCACTGAAATACATACTATTCTTAAGGGAAGTACCAATGCCCAGCCGTACATGGACAACATAAAACAAACTCAATGGCATCTTTGGAAGTTGTCTCATAATGTTCTGTCAGGTACAAAAAGCAAATTATCTTGAATAGCAGTTAAACCAAAAGGGCGTGTGTGTATTTTTAATCAACAGCACAAAATTAAGTCATTGTTCTATATAGAAAATAATTCAGTTAACAGAAATAATCCAAGATCAATTTTTGTGGTGACCAGCATTGTAAGAGCAAAGCTAAGAGAACCTGCATGGCAATTACATGTAACTCTAACACAGCTCCATGGCTGTCACACTAAAAAGTGTGTGTGTGAAGTAAAAGCCACTGTATGCCTTCAAAAGACAAACGGGCTACACTCTCAGGCAGAAAAACATGCATATTCCCCTGAAAACAATGGGGTAACTCTGAGGGAGGGAAGATAGAGGCACTGGTACTTTTCTTTAAAGGCCTCCACCTCCTCCAACCTGCACACATGCCTTCCTGCAAAGCATTTCACAGGGACCTCAACACAGCGGTTTGCACACTTAGTCACATTCACCTAAGGATAACTGAAAATATACTGCTAAGGATGGCAGTGTACGTGTGTCAAATAATACACCGGTAAGCAGAGTCATTATCCACAGTTTCAGGGAACTTAATTGGATTCTATAGATTGTAAGATAATGCCAAATTTAAAAACTGTTCCTAGAAGACCTCTAAGAACAGACCGGATAAAAAATTTAACTGCATTTCTCTACTGCGGTCTTAAAAACACATGGCAAAACCACTTCAGTAACTTCAATCAGGGAGCAAACCTGGGTACACTGTTCTCCCATCAGCTGCTCAATCTAAACCTCCTGAATGAATCTCTGTGCTTTAAGTTTCAGCTAAATGAAGATACACATGGCTCCAAAAGAGACACAAATGAATATGCACAATGCAGATAAGGAGGTTAAAATGCTCTGGACTCCCCTTAGTCAAAGCCTGTAAAAACTACTGTTTAATACCCGATTTTCTGGGGATCACAAGATGTCTTTCTGCATATGCCCTTGATAGAATTAATGAGAAGGTGAGAGAAAAGCATATGCTTAAATGCCTGGGGGCATTTATAACAAAGAAGAACACACAGTTTATTAACACAATTCCAGCACTCACAGCGTACCGCTTGCTCTAAATATTCCAGAAATAACATGCATATATAATCAATTCTCTGTAAATGATGTGCATACATCATTAAGAGGATGATACTTACCAACTGTATGTTGGTCAAAATAGTGCTACCATTTAGACATCTGCTTTAAAGAGATACATCACTTTACCTGCTTCTACAACCTATAAATGTACACCCTAGTTAACATATTACTGACAGCATGATGAGAAAGCTCCTGTCAGATGCTGGCCAGCTGGGGGTTTGAGACAAAATGCACAGCCCCAGCTGACTAGTTAGAGGAAGTCTGGTGAGGTACAATTACAGAGGCATATGACAAGGCTTCACGCCTGACTGATTTGAGAACCCATGACATGGCTTTAAACAGTGGTCCTCCCTATCTACGGTCACAAAACAGCAATAAGTCAACTAATACAACTGTGTAGTGTCATGATGTATTCCTCTGCTTTGAATATATGAGACCATGATATGACGCTCTGCTCGTCTACTAGGATTCACTCGGGCTTGGAGCATTAGGCCTGCCTACAGCATGCAGAAAATCAGCTAGCTTGTTTGGGACTAGCAGAAGTCATGTCGTGTACTTGGCAATGTATATATACACCAAAAATACAAGCAAAACCGATGATGTCTTAACTCATTAAACTTAAAAAAAAAAATGTAAAATATAATGATACTAACCCTATACTATGCTTCCATAAATGATAAAGGGCTCATTAAAAGATCTCAAAAACAAAAAGCTTGATCATTTGCTTATATAACTTAAAATTAATTATAAAGTTTATACCTTTATGAAGAGTATTATTACTGCAACTACAAAGAGCATCTGAAGAAAGTCATCCTCAAGTTAGCTAATTCACTACCACAGGACATCAATAAAAACACCAGTGAGCTCCAAGGTTAGCCTTCATCTTAATCATGAAAAACTATGGTTGACAAAGAATCACAACCAAAGCAAGCAAATTTCACCAAGTCCCAATAAAATTATGAATGTTAAGAGGTTTTATCATATTTTTGCTCTTAATAATAATTAAAATGTTGATGAAAGATGTAAAAATATCAGAAATTATGAAACAATAATTCATGCATTAATATTGAGTATGACAAAGAATGAATGGTATATGAAAATACAAAAATACAAAAAGCTTAGAACCAAGGCAATTATTATTCTTCCTTTGTGTGTTTTAGTGACTCCATTAAACTCCATAGCTCAGCCGTTAAAGGCTAGGCTCACAACCAAAAATATAAAATAGTTTTTTTCTAATTTACATACACTATAGGACCTTGAACTCAAATGTTACTGTGCATATAATTTATCACACGTGTATATTCAAACTGCATTTATAAGAAAACTGTTCAAGGTAGCAAAGCCATTTCCCCATATAAGAAGGGCAATGAGAGTGTGAAAACAAATTTGAAATACATTTATTTTATCAGCCCCACTGCCCCAGAAAGTAAGTCAAAAGAGAGGTGTAACTTAGAGATGGTATCACTAGTTTTCATGGATTGCCATAAATAATCCAGGAAATAATGCTGCTTAACAACAAGCTTTACTACAATCTGCTTCTTCAAGTCACAAATCTGGGCTGTCAATAAGGTTGTATTAATAATCACTGAATAGGGAATCCTGTTCAGATGTAATTCTAATCATTCTCTATGTGTGTAGTTTCTTAATCTCAACAGCAAGTCTAGCAGATTAAGACAGCTTTTCTCTCATTTCACATGTGAAGAAGCCAAGTCAAAGAAACGTTATCACATCATTAAGAGAGGGCAATGAATTAAAAGCAAGAAATATACCAGTATTTTTCAGATTTATTTTGTTTTCCTAAACAGTGGTTATCCGTCACTCACACAGCTCACTCCCAGCTTTACCCCAGTCTGTTTGAATTCCACCTCTTTAGAGGGGTATTCCATTCACAGACACTACACAAAACTCAAACCTCCAGCCTGTACACACTCACTTTATATTTTACATATTAGTACACATTCCATATGACACAATGGAGGCTTATTTGTTCAGCTGTTTATAAATTCCATGCCAGTTAACTATAAGCACACAAGCTGGCCTTGGTTGTCTTGCTAATGAATTTATAGTGCCAAGGAAAGTGCCCAAAAATAGTTTATGCATGAATTACTTTCTAAATCTATAAGAGAGCTCATACAATAATCTTTGTCATCATAAGAATAATTCCCATCAGAAATATTTTTAGAATCTTGAAAATAAGGAGAAGGAACAAGAAGGGTAAGACACAGAAAGGTTGAGCATCAATGGCAAACCCTGAATGGAAGATTAAAACATTAAAACCCCAAATTATTCAGATGGATTCCTCTACAGCTCTACAACTCATGAGAGAAAACTAGTACTTATCCTCTGATGCATCTCCTCATATCTACATACAATCTCCTTTAAAATCTAATTCTTTTCAAGATAAACATATTTTTAATTTGGAAAATAATGAATATAACAATATTATACAGTCGATTTCTCCAATTTGTATGGGTTCTACTAGGGTGGCAGGTGTGGCCCCCATACACAGAGTCAGGACCTGTTTTGTCTCACACTATGGATCTCCAATAGCTTTTTGTTCTCGGGGTGGTAATTTAACTTCTCTGAAAATGCCTTGTTTTTTTGTTGTTTTGCTTTTTTTAAATTTTATGTCTATGAAGTTTGCATGCACATTTGTGTGTGTACCACGTGTGTGCCTTGTGCCCATACAGGCTAAAAGAGGGCATCAGATGCCCTGGAACTGATGTTATAAACCACTAGGAGCCACCATGAGGGTGCTGGGACCAAACCCCAACTCTCTGCAAGAACAGGAAGTGCTGGGAACCACTGAGCCATCTCTGCAGCCCAATAGAATGCCTTTCTTATGACAAACACTAACTTGATAGTCTGGAGGGATCTTAGAATTCGGTCTAGTCTAAAATGCTACAATGTTTTAAAAGAAGAGTTTATTTCTATTATAGGAGAATAAAATATTAAAAGTAAACTTTTGTTTTACATGAAGCAAATATATGAAGAAATGATTTTAAGTATCTTAATACATCACAGATTACTCAAATCACTTAAATTTTTTATACATTTTGAATCTGAAAATATGAACTCTAGCATTTACTTGTGAATATTCTTCTATGATCTGAGAAAAGTCTTTCTATTGCTGTCTTTCTCGTAGTAATGAAGAGCTTCCAGAAGAACATTGAAGTGAGTGCCATAAAACCTGTGATTTGTAAAAAATGCTACTTTGACTTCTAAGTTATTATCAGCCTGAAGAGCTCCTCCAAACCAGAACTATTATAGAATCTACTCCTAAGCCCCACAAGGCCACAAAGATGAATCTGCTATTACCAGGTTAGGATAGCAGCTATTATCATGGCCCCGCAGTTTCTTTCAAGCAGCTCCAATGGAAAAAGCCACAAGTGAATAATAAAGATCTCATAATAGCTCTTAAGAGTTCTCCATGTGATGAAGGCACTAAAATGAACTCCAGAGAGTTTTAAAAGGGGAAAAAAAAAAAAACTCACCTCATGTCCTGATAAGAGAAAATAATTAACCTGACTTAATGCATCTAGGAAAGCTTCTATCAATCAGACTTTTTACACTTCAAGAGCCAGATTCAAACCATATATTAAAAATATGTAGATATTGTCTTTTAAGGACGTGTAGTGCAGCTCTCAATCTGCAGCCGTTTCTGGGTCTCTTTGTGAAGCACTCAAGATGTGTTAGTCAGAGGAGGAAGTGTGAAGGACTTACAGTGCTTAATTTGCTCGAGGTAATAATGATGCGGCGCTCATGCAGCATGCTGGCATACAATCGCAGCATGTTGTTCACATCCACAGCAACGAAGTACTCGGTCAGGTTTCTCTGTGCAAGGGGAAAAGAACTGTTTGAGCTCCAGTTCGCAGGGATACGAGGGAAAATATCTTAGACATTTACCAGTCTTAAAGTTCAAAGGAAGATTATCAGAAATGGCATTCATTAATAATTAAATGCAATACTCTTCTGCTGCCACATGGCATGCTGCATCCTACCATCATCGAAAACACAACCTATCTATACGAGTATTTCTCAAAGGACTACCACAGGATGGGTGCCACGTTTCCCAGCCTCCCCACACACTGCAAATTTTCCCAGCTCCAACCAATGCCTACTGAATTATTAGCTTTGGAGCATGTTTCCAAGGATCCCAGTTTTAACCAAACACTCCTGGTGATTCACATATATGCTGGTGTTTGCAAAACTGCTACTCTTGAAAAATACATTTGAATTACTTCATGGTTCCCATTCCCTCTCCAGTACCCAAGGCACTCAATGGAGGACCTGGAATTATAAACCACCCTTTGCTTCCTTATTAAAGAAACTCTAAGCTTGATGCCTCATCAGGCTTGATTTTTATTACTGTAATCAAATATAACTGTGACATTCTAAATTGATTCCTCAATCGAATACGTTAGACTTCTGCTACAGAACAAAACGGGGGTGAGCTACATTCACAGTGGTACATAGGTCCTGTCCTCAGGAATTACTTTCAACTTGCTGCTTAAAAATAAATAAATAGATAGATAGATAGATAAATAAATAAATCCTCAGCATTTTAGAGAGCAAATATTTTAATGCACAGAAAGTATAGAGTAGGGTAGATAAAGATCTGAAAGGCTAAAATTGCCAGGGGGAGGGGGAGAAGAACATAAGAAGTGTACCTGTTTCTCTAACTTGTAGAGAGCAGGGATCTTACACCAGAATCTGAAGTCTCAGTGAGCGTGGTTCAACCTGGTGGGGAGAGGCTCACTTCCCATTGCCTCTGAGGCTTCCTTCCCCTAACTCAACTCCATTACAATACTACCTTTATACCAAGCAGCAGACTTACTTTGTTACCATAAAGCCATCCCTAAGTGGAGAACTGCCCTCCAACATACAGTACTGCTGGATATTTCTATTCTATTTCCCTCAACAGGACAATGGGAAGGTATGTCAGTGATAACATACAACTATCTTTTTATGTTCTCAGTAACCTGTTTTTAATGGAATGTTTGTTTCTTTAAATATTTGAAAGCTATAGTCTCGAAAGATAAAACTAGAGCTCTCAAGACAGCTCAGCAGGTAAAGGCACCTGTTGAAGCCTGATGACCTAGTTCAATCACTGGGACCCAGACGGTGGGAGGAGAGGGCTAAATCTCATAAATTGTCATCTAATCTGCACAAATTCATTCATTCATATTCTCTCTTCCCCAACCTCTCTACCCTCTGTCTGTCTGTCTTCCTCTCCCTCACTCCCTGTCTCCTCCTCTCCCCACCATTAATTGTAATTTTAATGTAAAAATTAAAAAATAAAATTGAAAATGTTAGCTGTTTTCTAGTGAATGTAAGCAGAGGTAGCTGGAGAAGAGGAGAGTAACTCTGGAGGAGACTTCCAAGTGGCAGACAGACTTCTGAGCCAGAATGCAGTAAGCAGCCATGAGCCTGCCATCAGGAACAAAGGTGGGAGATTCTTTACAAGGCCAGAGAACTTGGATGGTCTGTCCTGAAGCACACTGCAAGACCAAGTTTATGTAAAGTCTTTTGATAGACTTATATGAAAAACCCTTTCAACATAATTCACAGGATTGACCTTTTAAAACATTTGAATTTGCTAGTCTTGGTTTGATATTAGAAAATTTACAATAGGGGGCTTGGGAGATGGCCAAGCTGGCAAACCCCTTGCCACACAAACATGAAGACCTGAGTTGAGATCCTCAGCACCTATGTAAAAATCTGGACATAGGGGCACAGCCCTGTAATCCTAGGACCTGAGAGGTGAGGCAGGGGGATTTCAGGGAAGACAGGTAAGCTCCAGCTGCAGCCTTTCCCACAGAACAAGGTGAGAATAATAGAGGAGGACACCCACTGCTGACCTCCAGGCTCCTCAGGCACTCACATGTGTGCAGACACATGTGTGCATACACAAACATAAGGAAAATTTACATATGAAAATTGCCCTTCACTTGAAATTCCTATGTTTGAGAAAGTAAATATTATAATGGTTTGAAAACTCTATGGAAAAATTGTGCTCATCTGAAATACATACAAGAATACCTGAAGGAAATCTTCCTAGTGATTTTCCTTTGATTTGACGGTTCATAACGGATTGATTTTAATGATCTAAGGTATTTTCCTTTTCCCACAGCTGTCAAATGGCATGGAAGCATATCCATCATTTCCACTTATCCATGAAAGCTCCAACAGAAAGTATTACCTTGGATAACTCTTGAGAAACACAAGGTATTTCCAGTACAGCTCCAATTAACAATGAATGTAACAACCGTCATTACTCTTTACAGTATCTTCAAGTCTAATAACATGCCTACTGCATTAAATTAAAACCAGGAAATCAGCACCCAGGACACTAATGATTTCCAACAAAGTTACAGAAAGGAAGTCTAAAATTCAATGATCTGTTTACTAAAGTAACAGTAAAGGGAACATTTTTCCTGTTATCATTGTTCCTCACTAGTAGAAGCCACCCCTCTACACCTCCTCCCATTTCAGACAGCCAAGCACAAGAGCTAGCCCTAACTGACCATCCCAGTGGCAGACATTCTTTTCTCCTTTTCCTCATCAGCCCAGGCACTAAGAAAGGAATATTGGAATAGATACATGGAGAGGAAAAGGACAGGATGCCCTGGTTTCTTACTCTCTCATAATTTTTCTCCAGAGACACAGTGAGAACAAAACAATATTTGTACGATGAAGAAGTTATAGAGGTATTCACAAACACTTACACTCTCCGGAATCGTCGGGAGTCCAGTTATGTCAGGGGCAATGAAACAGGAGTGCTAGGCAGCAACAATAAAGCACAGAGGGACAGAAGAATTAAACGTTCATATTCCATATAATTTGCGATAAAAAAAATCAGAAAATACACTGACAGATGAATGTCACTGACTAACAATCTGAACTTGAACGTGACAGAATCTCAGATGAAATGGTAAACTGAAATAATTCATACCAGAGGCAATGGCCAAAAAAGAGAGAGAGACTCTGAAATTGGACAGAAGCAGAATAAGATTCTGCACTAGTATTAAGACCAAAAAAGAGTATGTGACCAAAAGGTTACACGTATTTAATTATGCCTATGAACATGTATTCTCAAAATATACTTAGGCAGACTGAAAAAATAAAAGCATGCTAATTGAAGAGTCTGTAAAACCTACTAAGTCCTGGGGTCCTATTATAAACTATAATAAATGTTTTGTAGCAAGTGTATTACTTAGAAAACAACAATAAAAGATAATCTTTAAAAGATTAAAACTTGCCAGGTGATGGTGGCACATGCCTTTATCCTAGCACTTGCCTGGCAGAGGCAGGCGGATCTCTGTGAGTTCGAGACCAGCCTGGTGGTCTACAAGAGCTAGTTCCAGGACAGCCTCCAAAGCCACAGAGAAACCCTATCTCAAATCCCCCCCTAAAAAAAAAAAACGATTAAAACTTAAAAATGTATTTGCTGCCAGGCAATGGTGGTATATGCCTTTAATCCCAGCACTCTGGAGGCAGAAGCAGGTGGATCTCTGTGATCCCCCCCTAAAAAAAAAAAACGATTAAAACTTAAAAATGTATTTGCTGCCAGGCAATGGGGGTATATGCCTTTAATCCCAGCACTCTGGAGGCAGAAGCAGGTGGATCTCTGTGAGTTTGAGACCAGCCTGTCTACAAAACAAGTTCTAGAATAGCCAGGGCTATGCAGAGAAATCCTGTCTTGGAAAAAAAAATGTGTCTGTTATCCAAAAAACTATGACCTTATTCATACACCAATAGATAAATATCAACTTCCAGAATAAAGCAATGTCATCAGATATCTACATGAAAAGGATACTAAGTCTCTATCCCAGTGTCCCAAAAATAGTCCCCAATTTTATTCACCCAAATCAAAGTGCAATCATCAAATTATTCTATTTTCTGTTCATATTATGCTCCTAAATCATTTGATGTCTTAATTATATAGGAATATATTTAATATTGTCTTATATCTAAAGATTGGGACAGAAACTTTCAGCAGTATTTAAACAGAGCTGAACAAGTAAGAGGCTGTTTTACAGTCATAATGCATAATTTTCCAGGGTGGAAGAACAGTTTAAGTCACAAGATGATCCTGTGACCAAAAAAAAAAAAAAAAAAAAGTGACAGGAATGTCATGTACTGAATCTACTTCAGCATATTATTGAAAAGAGGAAATGCAAGTTTATGTCTATTAAACACCCCTTTATTTGGACGTGCTTTTCACATTATTGTATCTCATAAAAATCAGGAAAAAAGGAATTATAAACAGAAAACATTCTAAATGATTATTTTTAAATAGTCCATTTTCCAAAGAACCAGAGTGAACAAATCAGAAAGGCACAGTGATTGTGGAATAGTGATTTCAGAAGTCAGGGTCCTGTTGTTCACTCACCGGCATCAGTGAGGGCTGATCTTTCAGAACTTGCTCACTGGCAATAAATAGCTCTTGGTTCTTACGAGAGAAAAATGAGCATTTTACTTTCAAAGGGGAAGCTTACACAAAACCTTTCTTGTGTACTGAGACAAACCCATGTTGCTAGACAATGCCCTGAAAGTACCAGAGTGACACTCATGATGCATTCTAAACTCTGACCTGCTAATCTATTCTGCAAATGTCCTGAACAAAGTTTTGCACTGTGAGTACAAAGGCAGTGGATATTTAATGATTTTTTAAATGTATAGTTTTAAAAAAACTCAGATATATTACATATTAACTTTTTATATAATCTGTAATATTCCAGTGGTAATAATCACTTCCAAGTCTCCCAATAAAGACTTCCAAGATCATCAGCTTTAATCTGTAAGATAAAATTAGTCTCGAAGGGTAGTTCAAGACAAGTGCTCTAGTTTCCACACTGCCAATCAGTAATGGGCAGGCCTGTGTACATAGTAATCTGCTATAAAGTGAAATAAATTATTATTGAACTTCATATAAAAGCCACAAATGAATTTTATTAGTATATTAGATAACTATAGCTTGAAAACAGGTACCCAAGATTTGAAAGCTATTATAGACTATTAATTCAAAAGCCCACCTGATCAACAGGTACATAGAAAGGGGTTTAACATCACCAAGCATTAGAGAAATGCAATTAAACTATAATAAGCTACTTCACTCCAGCTTGACAAATATTATCAAGCAGATGAAAAGTAGAAAGCACCGAGGAAACTGTAAGGAGACCACTGCTGGTGAAAATGGAAATACGGGAAACAATATGGAGGCTTCTCTGAAAGCTAAAAATAAAATTGTGCTATTGATGCAGAAACACCACTCTTGAGTGTGCACTCAAAGGAAGGGATAAGAGTGAACCTACTGGGTGGTGGTGGTGCATGCCTTTATTCCCAGCACTTGGGAGGCAGAGGCAAATGGGTCTCTTGTGAGTTGGAGACCAGCCTGGTCTACAATAGCCAGAAAATGAAGCAGCCTTGCTTTCCACCAATACATAGACATTCTAATGATAATTTTATTCATACATATAAACAAATATAGCTATCAGAAGTAAAATTTTGTCATTTGTGATAATATGATTAAATTGAAGAATGTTACCTAAATAAAACAAGACAAATAACCACATGATTTCACTCATATGTGCAGTAAAAAAAAAAAAAAAAAAAGCTTGACCTCATAGAATCAGAGAGATAACACAGCATTCCCCATCAACAAACAGAATTATTCTAGTAAAAAGAAAATAAGGGCTTGGAACACAGATCAGTAGTGAACCGCAAAGCTCTCAGTACCATACCAAAACCCCAAAAAGACCAAATAAATAACAGACTTGAATGGAATACATTTTATAAAGATTTATCTAAATTTATATGATGTGTGTTTGTGTATATGCACACATGTGTGAGGGTGCCTGTGGAGTCCAAAGCAGGCATCAGATGCCCTTGTACCAGAATTACAGGCAGCTGCAATTGGTGCTGGGAAGAAAATTGGTCCTCTCCAAGAAAATCGCGGACAAGAACCTGATGAGCCATCTCTCCAGCTCCAGAGTACATTTTACTACTTTGTAATATGTTACAACAGCTGCTCCCATTACTTAAATAAGTACGTATATTTTAATTGAGCACATAACTCTTTGACTAAGTATCTGGATTGCTTTATAGACAGTTTAAAAGAATGATGTCTTCTTCTCATAAAATCCAGGGCTCCTTTGATGTCCTTCACTTCTACCTCTCTAAACATTCCAACTAACTGTGATGGTCTCTGCATTATTTGGAATCTAATGACCTGTGAATCTTGACTTTCTCTACCTGATCTTTTCTCTAGTTCTCATGATTCCCTTTTCTTTTCATAATAGTCTGCCTGGGGAAGCAGATCTGAGCTTTTCCTTTATGCTTCCAGGAAACTGTGTAGATAGCAACAGCTATGCCTGCTGAAGACTTTCAAATTTGATCTTAAAATTCCAAGCTCTCCTAGGTTTTCCTTTCCATAGTCTCCAGTGAAAAAATGATTCTATCCACTGTAATAGTTTGCAGCAAACAAAAACACAAAAAAGGCAGAAAGATTTCAGGAAAGAACAAACAAACATGGTCAACCATGTGGTGAGAACTTCAGAACAAGGAAAAAGGCAGGTCCTAAAGCCAGTCAGACTACAAGAGGTTTTAGAGTGAAAAGAAAGTACTGTGTTCACTTAAAATGCTGACTAGAACAGTAAGACTAGAGTGGGGTAAAATAGTGAGACAGAAAGGAAAACAAAAAGATAAGTGGATGACCCTGAAATCCTAAGCCAAAGTTTGAAAATTGTCTACATAAAATAGGGAGTTACAGTCTGGTATGGTGGCTATGTAGGAGGCTAACAAGAAGGGTTGTAACTTGGATGCCAGCCAGAGCTACACAGTAAGGCTCACAGCCAGCATGCACTGCTCTGTCTCAAAAAAAAAAAAAAAATTTAAAGGTTGTTGGCTACTTTAGCAATGTTAGGAAGAGATCCATCTCCTGGAGTGGTTTTCCTTAGTGAAAACCTAACACTATTATTCTGCAAAAAGAACTTAGCAATAAAATGATTCCCAATGACATATTGCTATAACCACATGAGGGAAAGAGTCTTCTTGCAATAAATGGGAATTAACATGGAGACCTACAACTGCACAATTTGCAAAGAATGACAGACTTTGGAACACTCAGCCCTAAATGGAATGTATTTATCAAAGTCCTCCTGTCAGTGCTCAAGGATCTATGCAGAAGAGGAAGCAGAAAGACTCTACAGTAAGAGGTGACGGATGACTCCAAGTAAACGGTGTCTTCCAGACTCAACATGACTGATGTACATATGAATTCACAGCATGCTCAAGGCCTGTACAGGTTCAAGCCAGATAAGAGCCACCACTAAGAAAGGGAAATGGACTCAAGATCACACTGCTAACCAAGAAGCTATTTACAATTGATAGCTACTGGGAAAGAGAAAATTAGTTTTCTCCAATAGAGTGTCATTGGGTATATGTCAACCACACTTTAGGGCAATCTTCATGCCCAGGTGTAGCTGGCCAACATAAAATGGACTTCATGGCTTTCTGTTGCCTGCGTTTTGTTTTAGGGCGGGGGGTGGGGGGGAGTTGTTGTTGTTGTTATTGTTATACTTATGTTATTTGTTGCTTGATTGGCTGATTGCTTCAGTTCAGAAACTGGTTAGGATAGAAAGGTGGGGAAGGACCTGGGAGGAGTTGGGAGAAGGAAAAATGTGATCAAATACACTGTATGAAAAAAATGTTAAATAAAAAGAAGATGTTGATGGCAGAGGTGTTTCTCCATGGTGGAGTGGTTACCTAGAATACCTAATGACTAAGGGCCCAATAAAATGTTTTTAATTGCAACCAAAGTAAGGAGTCACAATTGTTTTTAACAGAGAACTAATAAGAGCTTAAGAAAGTTTACTCTGGCAGTCTTTATAAGACAGAACTAAAGGACAAAATCATTTAAGTAGAACTGCTAAAAGCCTGAATCCGAACACTGACAGTGCTGACTTCAGAAATGGAATAATATAAGAGCAGGCTATCCATAGCATAACAGATATGACGAGCTCTCTCCAAAGAAAGAGTATGAGCATAACGATTTCATGGTCACTCCAGACTGCAAAAGGCCTCACATGAATGAAGATTTCAAGTTGAATTTCCTCAAAGATTTTCTTGTCCTATTAATTTTTTCTTTTTTGATAAAAAAAACCCAACATATTCACCAGAAACAATGATAGTATTAATAAATAAATCTATTTTTTTCAAAAAACTAGCAAAAGATATGAATGAAACTTCCACAGTTATCTACAACTTTGGATATTTATATGCCCCCACAATACAAATACTGGTATGTCAACCTCAGTAGATGTAAGTGGGAAAGTTAACTGACTCTCAGCAGAAAATTGGCATCATAAGAGTATAGTTTACATGAATACTGATCACATTCCAGGGTTTCATAACTAACCTGGAAGCACGCCTCATTTCAGGAAAGGTTCTCTCTCTCTCTCTCTCTCTCTCTCTCTCTCTCTCTCTCTTCTCTCTGTGTGTGTGTGTGTGTGTGTGTGTGTGTGTGTGTGTGTGTGTGTGTGTGTGTGTGTGTATACATGTGGGTATATGATTTTATTATTCGGTGTCGATTTCATTTTGAAAACCAATGTTCCTTACAACCAAATATTCCCACAGATTTGGTTACTGTCAGTCTGTAAGAGCTTTTAATTTCTTCAATTTAACAGCTATAACAATATGAAATACAAATTATATGAATCACAGCATGTCACAAGTCTTGATATTAGCACTAAGCAAGGTTAACACAGTCACTGGAATTTTCTAGAAATGGCATTTTGGCAAATAACTCCTGGAACAGGCATGTGTTCTCAAGTGAGAAAGAATGGTCTCCAAAGAGAAGGTAAAAGTCCTTACCACACTCAAGTTGACAGGCATATTTGCCTTTGGTACTGGCTGGTTATAGAGTGATTTGAGAGTTTCATTCAAATCATCTTCCTGAAACAAAGCAAAGATCGTTTCATAATTAAAATATATAGGAAGCAAATAATTAAAAGTATCCTTGTACATCAGTAATGGGAATGTAAAATGGCTAAGCCATAGCAGAAAATAGCATGTATGATCTTTCCCCAAATAATGAAACAGAATTATTATCCAGTACTTACACCTCCAGGTATATGGGAAAACAAACAAACAAAAAAACATCTGAATGTAACTACCAGAATAGGTTGTTTGGTTTGAACGAGGAGCTTCATATATGCCTGGAAAGCTCTCTTCCACTAATTAAAAATGGGTCTGGTGAGAGAGGCAACTAGACAAGCATCTATGTTGATATCTTACAATACACACAAGGTAGACACAACTTAAATGTCTACTAACAGATGAGTGAGTAAATAGCTTGCAGTGTATTCATGCTGTAGAATATCAACCAGCTTTAAAAAGGTCGAGAATTCTGTCGGATGGCACAGCACTGGAACCTTGAACGGACTATAACAGGAGAAATAAGCAGGGACAAACATTGCGGCATCCACCTGTGTTGAGAAGGCAAATATAGCCAGGCGATGGTGGCATACACCTTTTTTAATCCCAGCACTAGGGAGGCAGAAGCAGGCGGATCTCTGTGAGTTTGAGACCAGCCTGGTCTACAAGAGCTAGTTCCAGGACAGCCTCCAAAGCCACAGAGAAACCCTGTCTCAAAAAAAAAAAACAAAAAATGCTAGGGGAGAAAGGAAATGGCAAAATACTGTTTATTGAGAACAGTTTGGATTTGTCCAAGTATGTTGCACTGGAGGTTAAAACCAATGTGACTGTGATAAATATCATAAAATTATAACCTTTGGAATGACACAACTGCCCCTTCTATGCTATGTATATTTTAACACAATAAAACAATAGAGAAAGAAGTCAGCTTACCAGTTCCTTTGCCAAGTAATCTGCCAGAGTGTTGAGAAGCTTATAGTATACTTCAAACCATGGCAAGTAACTGGAAGAGAATTTATGGGTATGTAAAACACCTAAAGTTTAGAACCAATAAATAAACAGGGAAATGAAAACTGAATTGGTAGTCTTTAAAACACATTGATCCTGGAGAACAGAAAACAACTAAGCCATGTTTTCTTTACCAATTCCAGAAAATGTATTACTATTATTATAGCAATATTAGTTATATTCACTTCCATTTTATGTCAGCAGCAGCTGCAAAATGACTAAACCCTGTGTCAAAGCAACCACTGTATCAGAGTATAAAGGAGCTAACTATAAAACTAGGTACAACTGCAGTCATATGTCACTTTATTGAAGAGAAGGGAGACCTTAAGAAATGTGTCCTTCATGTGAGTTCTTCATCCCAAAGCGCATCTACATAAATTAAGATGGTGGCAGTATCATAGGACCACCACTGTATAGTGGTCTATCTCTCATTTACACAGTATATGGCAATACTTGAATCTCTTTAGAAATAGTACCCTTTTGACACATAATGCAACAGAACTAGGTATACAATTAATTCTTCAGAAACTATGTAACCATCATTACAGATAAAGTCCATTCTAAGAATATACACATAAAATAAATTAATTTTCAATAACAAAACCAATTATGATTTAAAATCAAGTTTGCTATGTAAAACTACTCTTTATGTATTTATGTACTATTTACTTTTATTATTTATTTACTTATTTTCAAGCAGAGTCTTACTAGTTAGTAGACATTTATTTTCTAATTCAGTTTACTTCTTTCTCTTTCAATACAAATGAACAGCCCAGGGTCAATGAGATAGCTCAGTGCTTAGATAAAGTGCTTTCCAGGTAATCGTGGTGGTCTGGGTTCAATTCCTGGAACCCACGTAAAGAAGGAACAGAAATGACTCCCCAGAAAGTTGCCCTCTGATGTACACATACATACCATGACATGTACATACCCACACTTCCATACATGATTTATATACAGTAATACTATTTTAAATAGCTTAAGCATGAGCTATATGAAGACAAATGTAAGTTTATAATGAACAAATGAAAATGCATGACAAAAACAGACCACACTACAGAGGAAAACTTTAAAGTGCCTTTATTCTCTCAGGAGACAAATAGAAGAGGGTGCTAGTAAACTAAACTTTTAAAAGGTACCATTGGAAAACAAGAAAGAGAGAAGGCAAGGTAGCCTAAGGGGACCTGAGTTCAATCCCTGGAATCACAGAGTGTTGGCTGAAGAACTGACTCTACAAAGTTAATATGTAACCTCCACACATACTCCATAGCCCCTGAGCCACCCCACCCCCATACTCCATAGCCTGTGAGCCACCCACCCCCACAGCAACAATCATGTGACCTCCACACATACTCCATAGCCTGTCAGCCACCCCCACCACTTCCACAGCGATAATAAAATTTGGGGGTGGGGTGAGAGTTTTCAGAAATTCTAAAAGATGAGGGGGGAAAAACACCTCAAAACATGGAAAGATAGAGAACATCATAAGAAAATCCCCTGGAAACTAGAATAAAAAGACAAATGGGCAACTAATAGAGGGAAGACACCACAACACCAGTCTCTATCAGGCCACTGAATAACAGTGGCTCCCAAAGAAAGAAAAGGGAGCATTGCTTAAAGTATTCCCAGAATGACCACTCTGCTTCAGAGCTGAGTTTTCTGACTCAGAATGTGATGACACAGGAAATGAGGAAGCCACACTTCAGTTCCCGTGACATTCAAGAATAGGAATAGAGAAAATAAAATCGGTATTTCCAAGAAGACAAAGAGGTAAGACTCAAGACCAACTACAAATGTCACCAACTCCTCAGTAGAGACCCTGCAAGTGAGATGATGAAGACTTCCAAGCAGAGGTAAGGAGGCCATTGATGGAGAGTAGAGGAACACCATGCCCGGCCATTCCAGGGTTCACAAATTCATCTCCTTGGCTTCAGTGAAATAAGGGAAACCAAGAAAGAATGCAAGGTCATCGGAAACACAATAGAGACCACAATGAACAGAGAAGTCCAAGACCAGAGTTATCCTAAGGCTTAGGATACAGTACGACAAGGGAGGAAAAGCTGGACAGGTTCTGGGAGCCTAGGAAACTCTGCTTAGATTATGTGACACCTCTGAAACTTTGCATTTAGGGACATGAAAATCAAAAATATTAATTAAATTACTTAAGGGCTCAAGCCCTCGTTTTCAGATAGCAATTCAACCATGCCTTATTTTTAAAAAAAGAAAAGATAGTTCTTGAGATTACAACTTTTAAACTAACAACTCAAAACAAAATGTGTTATCCCACCACAGTTTCTATACTCACTGTTAGTCTGAAATCATTTGTTCAGTAGGTCACACCTGACAGACAAGCAGGTATGCTAACTACAGGTCGTCACTATTCCCTCCCCTCCCCCAGCATATAGCCTACTGACTACCTGCTGTGACCTCCCCTCCTTCTCTGCCCCCACTGCCATAGAGCACACAGATGTTAGCCTCCAGCCTCCCGTCCACCCACTCATCCCTTTATCCCAGCCCCCAGCTCCAGCAGGCAAACCCTGGAGAACACATACCAAGCTGGCCAGGGAAGCCTTTCAGCTAACTGCAGCTCTTACCTTTCCCTCCGCTCCTCTAACTCCAGTCCCCAAGTCTCATCCCTAGCTCTTCAGAAGACTGCCTGCAGCACCCTCTCTTCCTTCTCCACCCCATCTCCAGCAGATCACACAGATCTCCTCCAGCCTTCCTCACCATTCATCCACTGTCACAGCCCCCATCTATCTCCAGCAGGCATTAAGGGGAACACACCAGCCAAGCCTTCCAGAGAAGCAAGAAGGCCAGCTGAGCAGGTAGGCGAGCTTCAGATCTTCAGTTTCTCTCCTCCAAGTTCAATCTCCCAGTCCCATCCCCAACTCTGTAGCAAGCACCTGCTGTGGCCTCTCCCCACTCTCTACCCTGATTCCCAGGGGAGGAACACCCTGCTCACTCCCTCCTGTATACTCCCTCAGCAACCCGCCCCCCATCTTTTAGTGCATACCAGTTCCTAAATAACTCCCAATACCCAGAAACTCCAAACCATCAGTGGCCACACCTAGCATGGTCCTAGAATAATTCCCTACCAAGCAACACACAGCCACCATACCTTCCTAAAAACTAGATAGGGCAACAGGAAACCAAGGAAAAAAACACCCACACAACAAAGGCAGGACCTGACATAAATACTTAGAATTGCAATCACCCCAGACTCAGATGCCTAGAGAGCAGCATAAAAACAAACCAGTAACAACCAGAACAATGTCGCCACTAAAGGCCAGCAATCCTTCCAAAGCAGGTCCTGAGAAATGAGACATAGTTGAAGAACAAGACAAAGACCTTTAAAAAAAGCTTTGATGAATATGATAAAGGTCCTTAAAGAGAAAATGAATAAGGCCCTTAAAAAGAAAAAAATATGAAAACGCAAACAAGCAGTGGAAGGAAATATAAAGAAATGATAAAGACCTGAAAGTGGAAATAGAATCAATGAAAAAGAAAAAAAATGGAGGGAACTCTAGAAATGAAAAATTTAGGAACTTGACCAGAAACTCATAAGGAAGCCTTGCCAACAGAATGTAAGAGATGGAAGAGAGAATCTTGGGCTTTGAAGACAAGATAGGAGAAATGGAAAGCTTTGTCAAAGAAAATACTAAATCCAAAAACATACAGTCACAAAACATTCAGGAAACGTGGGTCACAATGAAAAGATCAAATCTACAAATAATAGGAATACTGGAAGGGGAAGAAACCCGGGTCAAAGACACACACACACACACACACACACACACACACACACACACACAGCTTCCTCTCCCTCCTCTCCTCCCATTCCCTCCCCTAACCTTTCCTCTGCCCCCCATCCACTCCTCCTTTGTTTCTGTTCAAAAAGGGGCAGGCCTCCATGGGTATCAATAATGCATGCCATAAACAAATGCATAAACATTAGGCAGAAAATAATTTTTTAACTATCATAGAAAAAAATTTCCCTAACCAAAAGAAGGAGATGCCTATCAAGGTACAAGAAGCATACAGAGCACCAAATAGACAGGACCAGAAAAGAAATTCCCCTCAGCATAAAATTGAAACACCAAACATACAAAACAAAACAAACACAGTCTGGGGATCTAGGGGGACTACTGAAAGTTGCAAGGGATAGCCTTTCTCTTTCTCTTCTGGTCCCAGGCTCTTCGGGAGCCACAGGGTATCTTTCAGATATGGCCAAGTCCAAGAACCATACCACATACAACCAATCCTGAAAATAGCATCAAAAAAACCCTGGTCACAAAGATACTATTATCTTGGCAAGGGGGGGGGAGGGGGTGTTGAAACATGATCAAAAGAATGATCCATGGTGAACAATGCCTTGGGGAAGGGAGGGGCTTTTACCTCAGATGCTTGCCTCTTGTGACAAACATTTACATTCAATTTATAAGAAATGATTATTCTTGTTGGATGTCAGACCATAGCTATAGAACCCAATCTGATCAGTGTACCCAGAATCTGGAAATGGCCTTCTGCCTTGCTTTCTTGCTTTCCCAGATGTAATCTGCAGTACGTGCTAGGCAAGTGTGGTTAAGTTGGTCTGTCCTGAGAAAAAGTTCTGGGAAATGGCTGCTCTGTTCATGCTTATTAAGTGCTTACTGGTGTTTATATACATGCTTTTCTGATCATGTTTTTCTGAACTCAAACAACCTTCCTTAGATCATTGCTTTCTTTGTTTCATTCATGCATACATGTAACTGAAGTAAGGGTGTCTGCAGCATTGGCCTGTAGTCCGCCCCATTCTTTCAGGTCCTCAGATCCTGGATCAAGCAGACAAAATGGGCTCAGGTCAGCTGAAAAGCTGACAGGGTTCCAAGTTCCTGAGGATCATGCACTTTGCCGAGAAGTACAACAAGAAAAGCCTAAAGAAGATGCAGGCAAACAATACAAAGGCAATAAGTGTTTATGCAGAGGCCCTTGTGAAGCCTAAGGTGGTTAAGTCCA